TTTCACAATGGTTATTATTTTAAAACTACCGTGAAAAATTAATTTTTCATGACAATTATAACCGCCATGAAATGCTTTGCTTATAGCATCGACAGTATTCATTATGCCTCAAAAACCATCGTGAGAAGCTCTTTTAACCTTTGTCAAAAGTCTTTTTTGCAATAGTGATTAAACCTTAAATTGTATGGGAATAAAAGTGAATATTTTGTTTGAGGTTATTTGAGCATAAAGTACAAAAGATGATGATTGAAAGCCACATCCTTTAGACTTTTCGTAACAGTCTTGAAATTTGAAACATTTTAAAATATTCAAACAATAATATGTGTTAATGATTCTTTTTGTATTTAAAAGTAGCGATTTCAGCCTTTCTAATGAATTCTAATTTTCAAATTTTGAAAATGTATAGAATTAATTATGAATTTTTGAAACTAGGTCACTTTGTTATTTATAAAATTTTGAAATCATCATTTTCAAGGATCAAATTATAATATTTTCGAATAATTTATTTTGTATTGCAATCTAAACATTTTAACTTTCCAAAAAAATCTTAATTTGTAATTTTGGGATATCTATGGAATAGTTTTGAAGTCGAGCCATCTTGTCTATGTCGTTGACCATAATGAACACACAAAATCTATTATAAATCATATCCAAAAACAAAACAAAAACAAAAGGGTTTTTGAGAGGTGGTGACTTGGGCTCTCTAAGAGCTTTGATTTTTGACTTAGGAGGAGCATTTTTTAGGTTCTTAACATCTCAGTAAGTGATTCCAACCTTTTTTCCACCTATCTTAGTTTTTCAGATTTAAAGTTTTGCAAATCTTGGGTTTGAGTGGAATTTGAAATGGGCTGAAATTTCACCAAATATTTTAAATCAAATGAATTATTGGGACCAGATTAAGTGTTTAATTGGTTTAATTTTCGTTAGAATTTATTTTTGTGAAAATTTGAGCTAGGGTTTGGTTCTTGAATTGGGATTTTGATTATTTATGATTATATGATGATTAAAACTGAGGTTTGAGGATTGTATTATGTTAATATGAGTTAGAATTGATATTCAATTGGTTTAGAATATTGATTTGAATTGATTTTTAGATTTGGATATTCTTGAAGATAAACCCTAGATGGAAAAATTGGGGCTTTTGATTAATTGGTATAATTAGGAGTCAATTAAAGATTCTTATGAGTTGTGGGACCTTTTGAGATGGTTTATTGAGTTTGGTTTTTTTAATTTGAAGTTGAGAGGAGTTGAGGGTTAAATTAGGATTTTGAGTCCTCAATTGTCATTATTAACTACCTTATTATTTGTTTACTCATATGTGGTAATGGTGTTTCTGTGCACAGGATGTCTTGATTGTGGTAAGCTATCATCGCTAAGCAAGAGGTAACCACTTTTACTCATTATATATACTAATATGTTGTTTATGAATAGTTTTGTTACTTTGAAAGATATGTTAACATGCACTTGAAATTATGTTCATATAATGGAATTAAATAAGTCTTGTAGAATTGGGTTTTGAAAATGCAATCCTTTGAGTTCATGATATCATGAAATCACTATGGGCTTTGATTTGGAAAAGAATTATTTGATTTGGATTTTATGAAATGTATTCTTGAGTATAATGCATATGATGAAAATTAGTAAGTGATCTATATCTATCACTGTCACGTAATGAGTGTCTCTATTAATGCATAATAGTTGGCTCCTTATGTTCCCACAAAGAGAGGAAATGGCCTCTATAGGTCTCAAGATTTCTTTATATCCCTATAGTGAGGAATCGCCTTTTTGGCTCTTTCTCCTAGAGTGAGACATTGGTATTTTGGACTTTTGCTTCCCTTATAGTAAGCAAAGGTGGTTATAGGGATTGAATATGCATAATGGCATTTATTTATGAACTATGACTTCGGAGAATTGATGTATGAGTTTGAGAACCTTTAGTATCTGAGATATTTTATATGTTCATATACTCTTTCATAATTGTTTCACTTAACACCTCACAAGTACGCATTGATATGTATGATGAGCTAGACTGTTGGTTACTGATACTTATGTCTTACCCTATGGTTATTAATGTTTCCAGGTGAAAGTTCTAATGTTTCGCCACCAAGAAAGAATTCAGAGACCTAAGCTTTTATAACTTCTTGTATTACCTCTGTCTCTTGTGTATGTGCTGATGGGTTATATTTTGCCACCTAGGACCCCTTCCTTTACATACTCTATGTTGTTTGGATGTTTGATTTTTTACTTGTACTTTGTTCACTAGATTATTGTTATTGTTGAGTGCTAATAATAGGCCGGAGGCTTTTAAAATTACACATGTGGCTATTGTGGATCCACATTAACTATTATGCTATATTATGCATATTATTCAATAACATGGTTGCAAAGTGGGCTTTGGTTTGCTATTCCTAGGTTTGATGCTTAAAGGCTCATCTTGAAATGTTTAAAAATGTGTTAATTGTGTTAAAGAAGGGCTTATTTTTTATTACCATGTTAGTGGGGCTAAACTCTTTCTAACACATGGTTTTGCACGATACAGTAATATGAAATTTCTGCATTTATGTATGCTTTTAAAAGTAGATTTAATCCTTCTTATAACTATTATTTTATATGAATATTAACAGGGTTTTAAATATTCATGATATACTTTCTAAGTCATTAATGATTTTTTTTGCATCATGGATTTCTTTTGAAATAAGTTGAACCTTTTGCACTACTATAGCTACTTCAACCATTTCCTTTTTCTACCATAATAACAATTAAAAGAGCTTTAAAGTAAGTAAATAATCCTTGGTTTTAGGAGCTTCTAACAGATAATGCCACTACAAGTCACTGAGGTAACCTAATGTCTCACAACGTTTGCACCCTTTTGGGTGTTGAAAGAAGCTCTGATACACAAAAAACAAAGATATACAACTGTGACAAAGATAAACGTGGATTGGTGATAGATCCAAAAAGGAAAAAAAAAAAGAACACAACATCAAAAGTGAAGACGCATCCAAAAACATTAAAAGAGAACATCATAACAAACAACTGAGAAGAAAGCAAGCAAAAACAAACATAAGCATGTTACGAGAGCCTAAGGATCTGTTTGGTTCAATGAGAGGAAGGGAAGGGGAGTGATTTTAATAGAAGGAATGGGAGGGGAAGAGAGTGGAAGGATTTTAATATTACTTTGTTTGGATTTATAAAAAAGGAGGGGAGGGGAGGAGTTTTAATATTACCTTGCTTGATTCATGAGGAGAGAGAAGGAAAAAATATTTTAACATGGACAATTTCGTCTTTATTTTATTTAAGATATGAGCATAACAGTCATCACATGACAAAATATAGGTGTAATGGTTACAACATAGCAAAATATTACCCTTTCCCTCCAAATCCTCTCAATTTTGGAGAAGAGGTTGAGAAAAAGAGGTTGGGAGGGGATTTTTTTTTAAAATTTTCCCTCCCCTCCTAAAATTTGTATGTTGCCAAATAAAGGAAAATGATTAAAATCCTTCCCTCTTCCTTCCCTTTTCCTCCAAATCCCTCATACCAACATAGCCATTATTCTTACTACCAGATTTTGCTCTAAAATGTCTAAACACTTGAATCCTTGATGTAATGCCTTAGAAAGCATTATGTAAAGCCGAAACTATATGATAGAAGGATGAAAAAGTATCAGGACAAACAAGTTGAGCTTCCATACTCATATTAGTGAGAGAAATTCACATAGCGACACCTTGCGCTTGCTGAATTGGAAGTGATATGACAATTAAATTCGTCACAGGGGAAGCCATCCAATTGAGTTGGTTTAGTTGGAGGATTAAAAAAAAAAAGGAATACGGGTGATGTCATGGCTTACATAGGTCGGTACTGTTGAAGTCAAAGGAACGCTGATTATGATCACGAAGTATCCACGACATCTCTCTTTCCCTTGTCCTTAAAATTATAAACGCCGCCACATTGCAAGTCTCGTCTATTTCCTTTTCTTTTCTTTTTAGTGAATTGTCGGATTTTTTGTCGTCCTTACTGCTTACACGTGGCTTAAATATTGGGCACAATAAATATTAAAATATCGCAGTAAAAATAGTTTCCAACAAAAAAAATTTTATCATCATAACTGGCCCAAAATAATTACTCCTTATTTATCATAAATATTGGGAAATGGAAAGACTGCGTGTAAGAGATATTCAAATGAAAACCAAATTTTAAAAATAATTTTATGATATACAAAATAAATATGTAAAAAAAGTTATCTTAATTTATATAAAAAACATTTTTCAGTGTTCTCCCTAAATAAAATCATTAGCGAATACTATTCACCTGCTCAAAAAATTATACTATTCATGATTTTTGAATATTACCGTTTCTTATTAATTTTTTATTTTATTATATTTTATAATTATGTGGTCCTTATCTTCGAGATATCATTTATGCTTCCATGGTTCTATGTATTTATTTATAATTATTTATGTAATTCTGTTTTAAACCTTCTGAACACCATTACTTTTTATTAAATTATCAATAAAAAAATATCTATTCACATATGGTTAAAATACATTATTTTTTAATAAAATTATTAGATTAATATCTACTCAATATTTAAATTTTTATGATCTGCTTAATTCAAGTGAAATGAAAATAAATTAAAAAAAAAAGCAGAGAAGTTGTCCAAAAAAAAGAAAAAAGAAAATATTCAATGAATTTAATTTTAAAAAAAATCTCTCTCTTCTACCTGCCCCGTTCATCCATTCCATCCGGGTCTATCAAATAAAGAATCAATGCTTGTATCCATTGGCCGCCTTGTGAAATACAATTAAAAAGAAGCGAACAAACGTGCAATATGATGACACTTGACAGAGCCACGCGCCCTCACGAAACAAGTTGGGCGGGCGGTCTTGCGCATCACGCGCCTTTGGCGCCTTTTCTTGTCGGCTTTCTCTCTCTTCTCCATATAAGAACTATGCCAATGGCCCACTTCCTTCCCGTCCATTCCGAGTCGCCGATTTAATTCTCTCTTTCTCTCCGTCAACTCCCACGAGGCAAATTTCATTCTCTCTCTCTCTGTCTCTCACATTCCTTTCAATGGCTTCTTGTGAGATTGGAGCTTCAAGGATGGGCATACACGAACCAGACCTACTTTCTCGGATTCAAAGCAGTCGCCACACCACCGATCGCTCCTTCCACTATGCAAAATCCTGTCGAGCCACTTACTCTGATTGTTCGTTTATGGAGGAATTTCTCCATGAGGAAGAAGATGATGATCTCTGGGCGAAGATGCTGGAGGAAGCAAGATCAGATGTGGAACAAGAGCCGATTCTGTCTTCCTATTACCACGCTGCGATTCTGTGTCACCAATCTCTGGAAATCGCGTTGGCCAATCATCTCTCCCTTAAATTGAGCAGTTCCAGTATTCCCAGCGGAACCCTAGTCGATATCTTCTTTTCAATCCTTAATGAAAATGAAGAAATCGTGGAAGCTGTAAAGTATGATCTGAGGGCAGTGAAAAAGCGTGACCCGGCCTGCATAAGCTATGTCCATTGCTTTCTGAACTTCAAAGGCTTTCTGGCAATCCAAGCTCACAGAATCGCTCACCAATTGTGGTCTGAGGGGAGAAACACGTTAGCCCTTCTGATTCAGAACAGAGTTTCCGAAATATTCGCTGTAGATATCCATCCAGGTGCAAAAATTGGAAGAGGAATCTTGCTTGATCATGCCACCGGATTGGTGGTAGGAGAAACTGCAGTGATAGGTAACAATGTGTCAATTCTGCATAATGTGACCTTGGGAGGAACTGGGAAAGCTTCTGGAGATAGACATCCCAAGATTGGCGATGGAGTTCTTATAGGCGCAAGCACTTGCATTCTGGGCAACATAAAGATTGGTGAAGGTGCTAAGATTGGTGCTGGTTCTATGGTCCTGAAGGATGTGCCTTCCATGACTACTGCAGTTGGAAACCCAGCTAGATTGTTAGGAGGAAAGACTAATCCTGTAAGGCTGGACAAGATTCCAAGCTTCACTATGGATCATACTTCACATATTTATGAATGGTCTGACTATGTGATTTAGATGCTATTCATCAACCATATGGCATGTAGGTAATAGAGTTCTTGATTGCATGCTAGAGGCTCTTTGTGGGGAGTTGCTGGATTTGAGACAAAAATCTTCTCATGCTTATTTTGTATACCGTTAAATCACTTTGAAAATGCTAATCCAAGGGCTCGAGTGAAAATCAGTAGTTCTCCTGTTATCAGCAAACTGAGTGTCCTGGGGAGGTTGGTGCTGGAAACAAAAACAGAGCATAATTGAACTGTTCTGATGTTTAGAATCACTTTTTGTTAGACAAATAGACACAAACACACCTTTGAGTCTTGTATGCTGTGCCCAATTCTTGATTACGGGATGTTGTTAATTTATAGATAGTACTGCTGGTTAATTCCAGCTGCTCTTTGTAATACGCGAAGAACTCCATTTCTTGACAAATTTGCTCGTCCCTGTTGTTTTAAGTTTGTTTGAACAAAGAGATATGTATTTAAAGCAGAGGGTATGTGGTTAATTGTTGCTAATTTGGTCTTCCTTTTTTCTTTGAAAAATAAAAAGAAGACAATATCACTTAGCACATGTCCCATTCTTCATTATCAATGAATTACAGGCAAGTTTGGCCTTCATGGGAACACGTTGCTAACTGGACCACTGGGTCCATGGTTCAAATGTGGCACCCTCTTGTTACTGATGAATCAATACCAGGGGTCCCAACCCATGGTCCGTGAGTTCAACAGTGAGAACCACCAATAAGGGAAGGACGCTGTCAAATTCTCTAATTATACGTAATCATGTTTTTAATTTTTAAAATATAATTATTTAATCATCGACTTGCATGAAAAATGTAGAACGTATAGCCAAGTGTGATTGGATAATTTTCATGGCCAAAAAAAAAAAGTGATTAGAGAATTTGACATAATAAATATAAAAAGTTTCACTTAACTATTTTCCCTCCGTTTTTTCCCTCCAATGTTGAGCATTTTAAAAATTGTTCAATTATGTTTTAATATTTATAACAATCAATAAAAATTTAACACCTTTTTTTTTGCCATCCATAAAAGTTTAACAAGTCAAACTTAATTTATAAGTCTCGTTTGGTACAAAACATTAAAAATGAGAGTAGAGATTGGAATTAAAATTAAGAAAACCTATTAAAAGAGTGTTTAACATGAGAAATTGCTTCTTACATGGGATTGGGCAAACTCATGTTTGTGGGATTGGGGAATATTATGGAGGGAAATGGTATTCTCTAATCTCATCTACATAAGTTTGTCTAAGCTCATGTAACAAGCAATTATTTATACTAAATATTTTTTTAATAATTTTTTCTAATTATAATCCTAATCCATATTCTTTATTTTCAAATCTTCGTATGGACCATAATGTCTTAGAAAAAGATACTGAAATATAAAGCACAAGACAATGAAATTTAGAAAAGTGAAGCGTAAAATAAAAGAAAGTCGAATTTAGGAAGCGTCATGAGTTGCAAGGCATAGGGATGATGTGGGGTCAAGCCAACCATGAAATCTAAACCATGGCTTATTAGCAAGGGACTAAAAACTGAACCAATCATTGAATTAGTTGAGAAAGTGAGTCAAGAATTAATGGGTTAAATCAGAGTCAACTTAAGAGTCAAATCAATGAGAAATAAAAAAATTAAAAATAATTTAAGTTTTTATCATGCCATCCAAGAACTAAATATCAATTTAGTACATTGAATTACTAATAAAATAATCATATACTTACAATTTCTTTCCAACTTTCTATGCAATTTTTTTGACAAATTGAAATCATAATATCATGTTGCTAAAATCATTAAGTATTGATCCAAGCAGAATATCAAAATAAATATATGATAACAAAATATTCTTCCTTACAATCTTTTAATCATCAAGTGATTATTATCAACCACCTTAAAAAAGAAAAAAATTTCATCAAAATAGCTTTTTTTAAAAAAAAAAAGTGAAAGGCAACTAGGATAACCGAGTTACTCCCCGAATCGGTGAGGGTCATCCCAGGTCAATTTTTTCTAGCTTATAGGGGTCGACCACTGGCCAAGTCCGGTTCTCAATGCAATGCTTTTCAGTCTTTTCCTATTTTTCTTTAATATAAAATGAAACGTCATGGCAAACATCACATTCTTCTTTATCATTAATTTATAGCAACAAAATACTTTGTGAAAAATTTAAATATGGTGCAATTTTGTCTTGTGCAAAAATCTCCAATTCATAATGGGTGCTAGATTTTCATTAAATAAAAGGTGCAAGTTTCATATAGACTAAAATTCATTGAGCACCTTTATCTTATTTTTCTGGTATATCTATCATCTTGATTTTTTTTATGGTACATCTAATACCTTAATCTTTCTTATAGTGCATCCAACACCCTAATCTTCAATCTGTATAGAAGCACATGTTGGCTACTATAAGCCATGAATGCCACAAATATTGTAATTTTATTTGACTTAAAGTGTAGACGTGAAAATACATGTGTTCAAATGTTAGTTGATAGAACCCTTGGGCACAAATAAATGGTTCAAATTCGACTTTTTATAAAATCATTTTCAAAATGTTCAATTATAAAATGAAAAGTAAATATTCCTCCGGTCCTAAATATAAGACCCCTTTCGTAGTGTAGATTACACTGTAAAAGAGGTTTTATATTTAGGACCGAAAGAGCAATTAAATTCAATTACTAAAATTTGATATGAATAGTTTAAAATTTCATTAAAGAGCGTAAAAAAATAAAATCTAAACCATTCAAATGTTAATCTTATTATGATTATAAAAGGAAGAGGATGGGAAGAAAATAAGAGAGAATAATTTCTTGTGTTTTTGTCAATATGATGTATAACAAAGTAAAATATTATGCCTAACGTTTTTACCAATTAGGACAAATTTAAACACGTATTTTTACATATGCACTTTGAATCAAATAAAATTTCAATATTAATACTTGCCAACATGTACCAGTTACATATTGAAAATTTTTGCCCCACTTTTTTTAGAGTTGATAGGAAAAATTGCAGTACAATATTGTAATTTATTGGTATTTTCTCCCTTGACCCATTTACTCGTGGCACAATATTTAAACTCGCATTTCTTACTTAACGAATATTTGACTTTCGTTACAAAATGGGGATTTTCACACTATAATAGTGTCCAAAATTGCACTATCTTTGAGTTTATAATACCAATAGCTCCTCACGTACTATTTATATTTATAATTATTTTTGCACATTCACCTCCTGCATATGCATGTATGCCATGATAAATTCAGCATAAATGTACAAGCTCACTCCAGACCTGCTAAACCATTAAATTATAAGCCAAACAAAAGTATAAATGTTCTAAAATTGAATTTAATTTTCACTTTTTTAAAATTCGGAAAAATTAATTTTTCATATGAAATACATATATTAGATTAATTAATAGTTTATTTGGAAAAAAAATTGAACAAAATAATAAGTTTTGATTTAAGACAAATATTTCCATATTTTAACAAATAACAACAAAACTGATTCTTGGATTCGTCCATGGCTAATCATGCAAGAGGGGTTGGATTGTGTGTGTTTAAAAACTTTTGCAAGTTTTGAAATGCCAATGAAGCAGTAAAGCATAGTTATACAACCAATAATGATGAAGAATTGAATTGACATCAAAGACTATATCATCTCTGGTCCTTAATATAAAGGCCAAATAATTAATTTAAGAAGATTTAAAAAAACTAGTTAAATTAGTTAGTTGTCACAAATATGTGCTGAATTTTCTAAATTATTCTCTTTAATTATGTGTATTGAAATTAATCCTTAGTGAGAACCTCTTACAATCAATAAGGATATTTTAGCTAAAACATTATGAATTTGAAAAACAAAGTAGATTGAGTGGATAACAAAACCCAACAAGCTAAATTTAAATAGCAGCAACTAAACTAGATATTATACATGAAAATGGAACATATGCTGATATATAGAAGGCTAAAATAAAGTTTGAAACAACTGGTAGTACTGAGAATTTCTCCATTCCAAATCACAGATCAAAGGGGCTGCAAGGATTACTATAGATGCAACCAAACTGTAGAAAGGTTTTGTTGATTAATTTCTGCCAAATTTACTGTGACAAAAGAATCCTGGAATGTCAAATTGATCGTATTTCAGAGCAAGGCTATCCAAGCTGAGCGTTCCAAATAGACTCAAGGCTCTTCTCATACCGGAAAATATCACAACAGCTAAAGCCAGTTGATCTGAACAGTTGAACCTCGTCCTTTCATTAGTAATGATGAGATTCAACCGGTAAAGAACTGAGAGGGGGCCCTAATGCTCCACCTCTCTCATGTTCCTTAAAATGCCCCAACCGTCCAAACGCTTTTTTTTTTTTCTTTTTTGTTTTGGTTATTAGGTCTACACAAAATAAGTGACATTTTGATATTTTATAACCAAAAAAATAGTGCAGTTTTACATTTTTTACGACTTTTTAATAAAAAAAATACTCTAAAATTATGTATTTTAATTTTTTGTTTGAAAAATCATAAAAATTGAAAACTGCACCATTTTTTGCCCAGAAAATAGCAAAATGTCACTCATTTTGTTTAGAATCTAATGACAAAAAAAAAAAAGATAATTGGGAGTTTAGGGCATTTCCAGGGGCACTGGAGAGTGGGGCATCAGAAGCCCCTTGCCTAGAGCCAGAAAGAGCACAATTTGGGACACCCTGCACCTCCGTCTCATATGTAGGGCAAATTATTGCATTCTTTCCGCATTCACTATAGCAACCTCCACCATCCCTCTACTTAATATTTTTTTTTAAATTTCCACAAATTGATTAAATAACTCTTATATTAATAATCGGAGGAAGTATCTAATAAGTCTTTAAGTTAGGGCAAAGACCTTAAAATAACATGTACGTTTGCATGAGACTTGTTCGTAATCGTAACCAAATTTCTTACGGGAGAGTTCTATTTCATTTATTCCAATCAACTTTTTAGTGAAATTTTTTTTTCCACAGTAAAAACAAACAGAACATTCTATGTTGAGCTAAACAGAATATTCTATGACTGTGACCTTCTTTTTTAAAAGAAACAGAAAGACGAAACATTCTGATTCATCCAGGTCATGAAGGGGACGTGATTAGTGTGAAGCGGCCCAATGATACTGAAAATCAGACCAGCCATTGAATCAAATCAATCAATAAAGATAATAGGTCAAGAGTCAGTATATCAGATCGGAGTTAAATTTGTGAGAAATAAAAAACAATAAAAAACAATTTAAATTTTCATTGAGAATTAAATATCAATTTAATATCTTGAATCACTAATAAAATAATCATATACTTACAATTTTTTTTCAACTCTTTTGCAATTCCTTAGACAAATTAAAATCATAATATCATACTACTAAAATCACTAAGTTTTATTC